ATAATAAGTGAGTCATTCGTTCAAACGATTCGTTCAAAAGTTCAAACAGAATGATTAATAATAGTAATCATTCAGTAACAAAACCCCTCACTGATTGTTGTTTTCCTCTGGAACTATTTTCGAAGGTGGTGAAATATAGCCTTACTAAAACAGTCCATAATTTGTCTACAATGTAAGTAACTTAATATACAGTAGGCCTACAGGCTACTTGTTTATGATAATAAACATTTATGATAGGCTAATTAAATATTCTGCAAAACAGCTCCATTGGTTGTGTTATGTAAATACCTTAAATCATAGGCCTACGTTAAAAAGTATATATATTTTACTTATTTAGCTGTTGTCGCATTCCTTGACAGGCCATCTAATTTTCCCTCTTTCTTTAATTATGTTTAGCCTGCGACAGGTTTTTTGCAATTTTTTCCGATGACTAGCTTGTCGGCTCCCTGCTCGCTCATCGTTAACCGCCCGCTCACAATATTGATTCAATGATTCTATGTTGGAATCTTATGAGGGTGCCAACTCTAGCCCGTTAGTCCTCTAAAATGTTATATAAAAATGAGGAAATGCAGAAATGATTTAGAAACGCACAGCAGCAGATACATAGAAAATAACAGACAAATTATTTAGGTATGCACCGATCCACATTTTTTAACTTCCGATCCGATCCCGATACCTGACTTTGGATATCGGCCGATACCGATACTTTTCCGATACCAGAGCTGTGTTTGCTTTAATATTATTTATCATTATTGTTGATTTTATATGATGCTGAAATAAACTCCTCTGTACAGGCAAGGATATGCACGTATGTATGTCAATATATATATATATATATATATTAAACATTAGATAGACAATTAAACAAAGATACACATTATACAGGCCTACACAGTGCTTTAATTTCAGGCCAACTAACATTATTGAGGTATGGTCCAAAAAGAATTATAATAAAGTAATCAAAAGTAAAATAGCACTGCAAAGTTTATCATAGATAGATTTATGCTTATTAAAGCTGAAGTTATTCATTCAAGAGCTGTGAGTGATTTTCTCTTTGCCTTTTGTTTGATTCTCAGTAATGTCGCAGTCGTCACATTTGATACTGCTGCCCCTTTAAGAACGAGTGCAGATTTCATATCTACTGATGCATATTTTCTCCCAACTATTTCCATAACTACGTTCATTTTAGACATAAACGGTTTAAATGTTGATCTCCAAGCCGGTCGGTTTGACATTTTTGTGCAGGCTACATTTGATTGTTTAGACGTGCATAATTATTATTATTTTACCATCGCTTTGGCGCCGCTTTTTGCGCTGCATATAGGCCATGTACCCACTTTTTGCGCCACTAGGATACTTGTATTTATGATCATTCTGATAGTACAGGGAGGCAGCATATATGCACAAAAGCATCTTTGATAACCATCCTACTGTAACTATATAGGCTACAGAACATGGTGCGGCATATTGTAGCAACAAATGTTCTGTAGACACTGGTTGACATATGACACAAGTGTAAAACAAGAACCAATGTGAATATAATACAGAGATGGAAAGAGTCCCTGAAAACCATACTTGACTAAATAGTACAGATATCTTACAACAACTTCATTACAAGTTACAAGTCACCAATACCACTTCACTTGAGTAAAAGTCTGATTTTAACAGTAGCTAGGGTATAGTAACAGGCGGACAGCAATCAATCATTATTTCCTGTTTCCGTTGTGGTACTTTCTGGAGATGTTGTGCCTGTGATCGTACTTTCTGTTGTTGTGATACTTTTCTACCGTGGCTGCTTATATTCTCCGGCAGTTCATTGAAAGATCAGATGGGTTCACTCCTCCTGAAACTACATTTAGGAACTTCACTTATATCACAATAGCACATTTTACTCTTTGACCAACAGAGGGCAGCCTTTGACCTAAAATTAAAGTGACTTTCAGAAAGAACCGTTGACTCTTACAATAGTCCAGTCATTTTATGAAAAAAGGTTGAACAAATTGCAACAGAAGCAAACTCAACTGATTTTGTATCCTTAATATGTTCTGAGTAAGGAAAAAAAAGCCCCAAACAATCCCATTAGGGGAAAGTTTAGAAAAGTTTTTTTTTTTTTGTAAAAAGATTTTCATGATGATATCTAATGTAAAAGTTGATTACTTACATCAAGACAAACAAAAAATGTATTACAAGTTTTTCGAATTTTTTTTAACATGGACAAACAGTGCATAATATAATTACGTATGAGCTAATTTGCCTAATTACCCAAACAGATCTAAACATTGGGTATAGCAGATGAAAATGTTTTTTTGAATCTTGTTGACATATAACAGTAAAAGACTTAATGTTAAGGTCTGATTGGAACCCATTTAGGCTACCCATGAACATTACAGTTTTTCTCAATTGCTAAAACACAATTTCTGAAACATTGCTCCATTTTCTGAAAACATTAAACACAAAACCTTATCTTCAAGCACTATTTACAAAACCTCTGATTCCTCTTGCAAAATGAAACTTTCGCCTCAAAACAGTTTTACCTGTGTTCAAAATCAAACACTGCTCTCGAATCATAAACAAAGTGATCAAAATGCTATACACTATCAAGCACTCAGTAAACAATACACCAAACAATTTAAAACACATCGTTCAAAACATATAGACCTTTTCACAAGATGTAAACAACACTGGTCCAGAAGCACTTCCTGTTTCAGTTTTTTAACACTACATAAAAGCTGGGATGAAATACAACCAACAGAACATTTAAAACTGAATCAAAAAGTTAAACAAACATCTTTAAGATTTTTTCTTTACATGTGAAATAAAGAAAACACTTACAAACTGAAACAGGAAGTGCTTCTGGACCAGTGTTGTTTACATCTTGTGAAATGGTCTATAGTTCTCAGGGAGAACTATATGTCAAAACAAATGAATTTCATATAAACAAAAATCATATTTTTTCATTGTACAGTCTACAGCAGTGCACTGTACTACAGTATACGATATATACGAAATAAGGGACACAAATGAAAGGAGTAAACATGTGATCAATGTGCTTCTTGTCTTTGGCCTGGGTCATGCCAGAGCACTTTGTCGACATCACAAGCAATATTGTCCCTTGCCCCCCTCCTCCTCCTCCTCTTTCTTGCCCCCGTCCTCCTCCTCCTCTTCTTCCTCCTCCTCTTTCTCGCCCTCCTCTTTCTCTTTCTTTCTTTCTTGCCCTCCTCCTCCCCGTCGCCCACCTCGCATATGCCCTCGTCCTCTCACATTGTTTCTTCTATCCATTCTCAGACTTTCTCCTTCCCACCTTCAACAACCTCTCAGTTCAGTTTGCTCTCTGAACTGGCTAATATTGGTTGTGTCACATCATTTGAAACAGGTTGAATCAGTTTTGAGTGGTTGTGTTCAATCAAATGAAATGTGTTCTCTCTTTGTATTTGGTTGTTGCCACTTGTGTTTACCAGTATGGATGATATGTGCATTAGAGTGCAGAATGTGTTTTGAGAATGAGAATGTGTTCAGAGTTTTGCTGAAAAGTCAGAGATCTGCAAATTGTGTTTTGCACAATTTGCAAAGAAAGAAAATGTTTACGGTATTGACAACAGACTTCACAATTAGATTTAATGAGTTCAGGCAACTGAGAACTTTGTTCAGCCAATGGATTTTAGTGTTTTAGCAATTGAGAAAAACTGTAATGCAGGAAGAAGTACTTTAGAAACCAGCCTTTATTAATTATCATGGCAAAGATGGGGTTTGAGCATTGAGGGCATTGTGTACGTAATTTGATTTTTTTGATCCAGACACTTTTTATTTCACCTACCTTTTGTCTTCAGCATTCTCTTCACCCATGTCTCCTTCTTCCCTCAGACTCATCCCCCAGAAACAGTCCCACTGACCCGGCCCCAAACCCCATCTCTGCCATAATAATTAATAAAGGCTGGTAAAGTACTTCTTGCTGCATTAATGTTCATGGGTAGCCTAAATGGGTTCCATTAAGACCTTAACATTAAGTCTTTTACTGTTATATGTCAACAAGATTAAAAAAAACAAACATTTTCACCTGCTATACCCAATGTTTAGATCTGTTTGGGTAATTATAAGCACATATGTAATTAGATTATGCACAATTTGTCCATGTTAACAAACAATTGCAAAAAACTTGTATTTTTTGTTTGTCTTGATGTAAGTAACCAAATCAGTGATTTTCATGATGATATCTAAAGGTTCAAATTTTTACCCTATTCAAGTGAGAAAAAGAATGAATGGGATATATTTGGGTCTTTTTCTAAACTTTCCCCTAATGGAATTCTTCGGGGCTTTTTTTTCCTTACTCAGGACATATTAAGGATACAAAATCAGTTGAGTTTGCTTCTGTTGCAATTTGTTCAAGGTTGACCCCCATTTTGGCTTAAAATGACTGGACTAAAATACAACATGAGCCAGACAGAAAAGCCACTTGTGATCAATTTTGTTATGTTTGTAATTGACATTTTATATACTAGTCGATTATGCTGTTTACATCTTGCTTCTTTTTGTTTTTGTACAGTTTGCAAAAACTATAGTCTCCGAGCGTGGTCAAACATAGCCTATAGGAATTTATGAAAAACATGAATGTATCGGGTTGTTGTTTAGAGCATGTGCCTTCCAGAAATTCTGCTGTAATCAGGTTTTATACAAAACACTGTAAGCAAGACGTGTCAGCATATTTAAAGTAACTGCACGCTTATGGAAAAGTGAGCTTTTAAATACCACAAATTTTCAATCCATGCATTTAAATAACCATCCCAAATGTGTAAATCCAATAGATTTACAGTCCAATAAATCACTTCTATCTAAATGCATGCACTTTGTGTGATTTTCATGCATGATTTTCTGCATCTGTTTGTAGTGAGTGAAATTTATTAAATAAGCAGATTAGAAGTGAAGTTACCCTTCATCCTTCTTTTAAGACTGTAGAATCAAAAAAGCTGTCTAATCCACACACATAAAATAACACACACAATCTCTGGATTTTTAACCTTATTCCCAGCTTTATTTTATTTTTGGTACAATATTTCACAATATGACTTTTTTAGGTTCTATTTTTGATCAAACAATCCAGGCTTGGTGAACATAAGAATATAAGAAATAAAGAACGAAAGAAAAAAAATCAACCCCAAACCAGGAACCTTCTAATGATAGTGTATGCTATTCTGCAATACATTTAATTTTAATTATAAAGCTAAAGTCTGAAACAAGAAACTAGTATAAAAGGTCATCAGAATCACTCTGGTCATTTGCATGAGCCTCAGCTGGATGTTTTCTGGAACAAGGTTTGGACAGCTTGTTGGGTGTTCATTTTTGCAGAAATTCACTAAGGTGACAACTCATGATTTTCTAAAAGAAAAGGAAAAAGAAAGAAAATAAACAGAAACCAATTTAGAAAAAAGTACAATAGGTATCTTGTATATGAATTTATATATACACACATGTTAATATTCTGTGATATTCAAATAATTAAAATAATAACATAAGTTTCTTATAAAGTTGATTTTTTTTAATACCTTGTCCCCAAACTGACAGGGATGGGGTCCATCAGGATTTCTTTTGAGATATTTAGATTGTTTATTCTTTACCAGATTATGGAATGTGTCTTTAGTAAAGTCAACCTGTGAATATAATGACAAATACACACATTTGTCATGTTTACTTTGTGGCTGTAATGAGATCAGAATGTCAACCTTCAAATACAATTTGCAGTTTAAAGTTCACTGACAGAAAACACGTACCGTGTTAAGATGCTTCAACCAATGGCTTGAGAATAAATCAGAGAGGTAGACTTCTCTCTGGTCATCGTAATCAGTGGGAGTGTTTTCGATGAATTTGTGACATGAAGTCAATGCAAAGACTGGGTGAAAGAAAATTTATTATTGTTATACACACAACTTTCAAATAAAAAAAACTAGTGTGACTCTGGTCAAATAAGGCAGAAGCATTAGTTGTGGTTTTCATATAGTATCTTACCCTCTATATCCTCGGGAAGTCCTTCGAACATCGATCCAGAGTAATCGCTGTCCATGTATATCACCATCTGCAGCACATACACATGATGAGGAAATAGTAAGATATTTAAAAATACAGTTAACTCATTCCCTTTACGCAAGCGGTTTTATATCACTAAAGGATGTTGTTGCCGCCCCTTTCAAAAGCGTTGCAGTAGCAGTTGTGAAAGTAGAAGCCTAGTGTGACTGTAGGGTAAGATTGACCTGCTAGAAATAGAAGAGTAGGAAAAAGAATCGCAAGGTCTGAATTTAAGATTGAGATTTGAAGGAAGGAAGGAAGGTCAAAGTCAAATTTGTCACATCTCTCTCTCTCTCTCTCTCTCTCTCTCTCTCTCTCTCTCTCTTTCTCTTCTCTCTCTAAACCAGAGTGGAGATCATTGTGTAAGCCACCATTAGGTAAAAGAGTTGGGGACATACAATGGAGACTTTTACATGGTGCGATAGCAGTTAATGCTTTTATTTCAGTTTTAAATCCTGATGTTTCTGCAGAATGCCCTTTTTGTTCTAGTAGAGAGACTGTTTTTCATGCTTATATGGATTGTGTTAGACTACAAAGGTTGTTTAGTTTATTACATAATTTATTTTATAGTTTTAATGAATCTTTTTCTATAGACGTATTTATTATTGGTTTTAGGTATGTTAGAAGAAATAGGTTTATTTGTCAGCGTTTAAATTTTCTTGTAGGTCAAGCGAAGTTGGCAATCTATATGAGCAGAAAAAACAAGATAGAAGGGGGTGCTGATCAAGATATTAATATTATGTTTTTAGCAACTGTCAAATCCAGAATACTTATTGATTTTCGTTTTTATACTTCCATGAATGATGTTATTACATTTGAAGAGAAATGGTGCAAGAATGAGGCTTTGTGCTCTGTTATTGATGGACAAATATTTTTTTCTCATCTACTAATGTAGAAAAAGCTTTGTGTGTGGTATAAAAGGTAAATGGAAAATTAGTAAATGGTGAAACTTGTTTTGTGAAAAATTGTAAATAAAGTATTTTTTCAAAATTAAAAAATTCTCTCTCTCTCTCTCTCTCTCTCTCTCTCTCTCTCTCTCTCTCTCTCTCTCTCTCTCTCTCTCTCTCTCTCTCGGGTCAGTAAGATTTTTAATGTTTTTCTTTTAAAAAGCCTCTTCTGCTCACCAAGGCCACATTTATTTGATTAAAAAAAAGGAATATTGTAAAATTGTATGACAATTTAGAATAACAGTTTTCTATTTTAATATATTCTTAGATGAACATTGATAACAATCGGAAATGTTTCTTGAGCATCAAATCAGCATATTAGATTGATTTCTGAAGGATCATGTGACACTGAAGACTGGAGTAATGATGCTGAAAATTCATTAATTACATATAAAAACTTTTTAGATTTATATTACATATAAAATTGTAATAATATTTCACAATATTACTGTTTTTTCAAATAAATGTGAGCCTTGGTGAGCAGAAGAGACTTAAAAAAAACAAAAAAACATTAAAAATCTTACCGACCAAAACATATATATCAACAATCATGTTTATAAAATGTGTTTTGTATTCAGCTAAATTAATAAAAAATAAAACGTAAAAATCATGTGAACATTACTGAATACGTACCTTTGAAAACTTTTTGCCATCATGCATGCTCTTGAGCGCGTCAGTGAAAGCTTTGGGATCAAGCTGTGATAAAACACACTGAATTAATGGTCATGAAGTCTGCAGGTTGTCAGATTAAACACAACAGTTCCTATTTCCTTATCCTTGTATTTACATGCAAAATCTTGAATTAATTGTTGTATTCCCTGAAATTACCATTTCATACTGGGTAAATAAAGTCATTTTTGAGATGATCACTTATAAACAACCATTAAAAGCAAATAAAAAAATAATAATAAATTGAAAAGATTAAATCAAATTGTTGCACGTTTTGTCAATTGTGTATCCATTCCATAGATACCCGATAAATGTGATGCTAGTTCTTTTGCTTTTTTCTATATTAGTATTATTCAGATAAAAGATTCATTAACATTTATTGTTTTTCTGAAAAATTTTGTGGGCAGAATTTCTTTCCCACAGGAATCCGTGCGATTGGGAGTTTTGCATGAGGGAGAAAATGTTCCCCATAGATTTTGCTCATATTTAAGTTAAGACAGAAAACTGCTTGGTTTAAAAGTGAATTATTTGACATCAGTGAGCTTCATACATTGCTACACTCTTGAGATAGAGAATTGGCATTTTTACATCATAATATTTTTCAGCACATCATTATTAATATACTGTATATCTTGTCCATTCTGATCTCTTTTATACTTACTGCCTTTTCAGGAAACTGAAACCCGCCTTCTTGTCCCACACCGGTCATGTAGATGTATATTTTGTCATCGGGTCCACTGCATTAAATGAAAATAATAATCATTTTAGCAGCAAATTCACACGATCTGCAAGTTACAGGGCCAACCACTGAAGCGGCAGATCCGGTACAGTTATTTCATTGTACAGCATCCCTGGTGATAATTGTAGGCAAAATGGTTTCCAAAATCCACATGTAGAATTATTTATAACGTGAAACAACTGCTTTTGACCAGTTAGTGGTGTGGTCACCTAATTAAAAGATAATTTTGTATTTCTCCTGAGTTGGTACTTTTGAATAAATTATTACTTTTTGAACGCTAAAAAAAGTATGTTCTTTATAGTATGAGTGTGTGTAGTACGAATGCAATAATCTTCAGTTGTCACGTCACTGTCATTCATAAATCTCTCCTGTGAAGCGACCCAACTGCTAGTAGGTCGCATGATAATGACAACATGGTGGATGTAGTGCGTACTGATTACATTATTACTACACACACTAATAAATACTATATAGAACATACCTTTTTAGTGGTCATGAGGTAAAAAAATAAATAAAATAAAAACTTGATTTCGGACGCAACCAGAATCTCGCCGCAAGAAGAAGGTCATCTAATGATTTTTTGCTAACTCTTTTATGAGTTGAGTGAATTCAGACAAGCTTCTTTTGTCAAATACTATTTTTTGCCTAATATTTACTACTGGCCATCTGTCCAGGGTGCTTTCCCCTGACTCTGGCCTTGGAAACTGGGATAGGATCCCATGACTTAGAAAGTCATATATGGAATACTAAAGAAAGAGAGAGATATTATGGGATTTCAGATTCAAAGTTATATGCCTGTGCTGCTTCCCCCATTCAGTGGTTGGCCCTTAATTAACTGCACAAAAGTGAAGGTATTAATAATATTAATAATTAATAACATGACTTTGATATCATTGAAAGATTTCTTCTATACAGACAAACAAACCTGGCTATGACTTTTTTTTGGTCCGTTCTCTTCTCCCCTTGAAGAGCAGACAGGAAGTTCTCTGGGGTCACATCCTATAAGATCGTGATTGTCATATTAAATCATCATTGTTGAAAGTTATAATTATTAAACATGTAACCATGTCAAAACAAAAGAAATATTACCGCTCCAGTGTAGTCCTTTGGAACTCCTGAGTACACGTTTTTTGAATCAACTACACTGATAATTTCTCCACTTGCCGGGTTACTGCAGACAGTGAAGAAAAGTTAAAATGCTTAAACTTATCTTATCGACAATTTTCTATGATGACGTTTTTCTATACTTATCTAGCAAAGATTGCTATGCTGTTATGAAGGTGTTTGTAATGCATGTGTGAGGAAATGACGGTCAATTTTACATCTTTCTCTCTTCTGTCTTCTGTAATCGATCTCTCTATTTTCTTCCTCTTTTGGAAAGTCTTGCAAATGCTGTTATCATGCATTCCCCTCCCCCCATTTTGCTATTGTTTTGCTTTTAACAAACTCCAGAAATGTGTCTCTGTTACACTGTTGTTCCCGCACTACTAACTAGTTTAGCACAGAAGATTGAGATCATCTGTGAAACGCATCATACTCAAAAGCTTCGGGAAATTACTCACTTTGGATTGTGAGCGATGTCATCATACATCATCACCACAATCTGCTCATCAGGAATTCCATGTTTCTTGATAAGCTGATAATGAAGGCACACATTGGCCTGAAACGCAAATGATAAAGATGATTTCAGTTACTGTCATCATTTATAAACTAAGACACATCCTTGGAGAATTTATTAAACAATATTTCTTAAAAATAATGAAAAAACACAAACCTGGTGTTTGTAATGTTCCCAGCCCTTTGAGCCGGAGACAAGGAGAATCCATTTTTTCCCAGCCATTTCTTGAGTCTTTTCAAAGTTAAGTCTATTGGAGTCAAAAATATATTTTTTAATATAATTTAAAACTAAATTAACATTGTTCTAATGCTTTTAATTGGCTAACATGCATTTTTAATGGCTTAACATTTATGATGTGTTTTAAGAAACACAGAAAAGAACACAAGTATTTGATATGATATAAAGTTTAGGATGATATAACAATGAGTTCAGGTTTTAAACTTAAGTGTTGCTTTCTATTCATGAAGTGCTTAAATGTCAATCACTTGTCATGATGTTAAAAATACTGGTCAAAAATGTTTCTTTTTTACCCAGTTATCTACATAATTTAGTACAGTTTCTATAGTGATTCAGATAATGTAGATGCCATCATACCTGTGTTGAGTATCAGGTGTTCCTGTGTGCCTGTCCTGGCGATTTCTGGTGTTTTAGTCAGACAGCCTCTGTCTTTATATAGGCAGTTTATCCCTTTCATTTGAGACTCATGGGCGGAGAGTTTGTGCTGGTGGGAGTGTGTATTTCATATTTTGCAATAATTTTCATATTCTCTTTAATTGATGGCAGTTGGTGACTTTGTGAACAATCTTAAACCGAGATTTGAATTAGAATTAAGTTGATTCGGTTACATACAAGTAATCAAATTGGAAATATGAAGCTCATCCACAGGTTTTCTATTTTTTTATAATTGAATTATTATTATTATTTATTGAATTTCATTTGAGCGAGTTGCTTCAGTAAAGTTTTGTCAGAAACGGGAAATACATACAGCCACAATTTGATTCCACAGAATCACTAGTTTTTAAAAATGTGAAAGCTTTTTTTATAAAGAAAAAAACCTGTCCAGATTAAATATTTTTAAAATATGCAAAAAACATACCTTTTAGGATTTTTTTTTATCAAATAATATCAAATAAAATGGTTGCATGGTTATCAAATAAAATGATAACCATGCAACCATCTACTATAGTATTGCTTCAGACATTGCGCAATAGATGAGGAACATTTTATTCTTCATTCTTTTCTATACTGAAGGAGTGGAAGAATTGTCAAAGTTTGTTAAATCATTAAAAATACACAACATGTGTGTTAGACCCTATACCGACTAAGCTACTGATTGAGATGCTTCTAGAAGTCATAAATTCACTCCTTACAGTTATATGATTAATTCATCATTTTCATTATGTTCCAAAAACTTTCAAGCTACTGTTAATCCTCTCATTAAAAACAACACAACTTTACCCTAGAAAATTAGTTCATTACAATCCGATCTCAAATCTATTATTATTATTAAACCTATTGCAAAATACATTTAATTTGCTTCTATTTTCATTAATTTGAATAAATTTGACCTTTATTCAGGTGCTCTTTATAATAATACAATGAAACGATTAATTTAATGTCCAGATATAATCATTTCAAACTAACCACATTAACACTTGACTAGGTCAAATTTAAACATTTGAAACTAGTGTTTCATGTACTGATTTTCTATAGATTAAAAGACAAGACAATTACTGTTTTGTAATCTTTTAAAAAATCAGTAACGGCAACATATATATTTCAAAAGAATATACCAGTGTCACTTGACATGCAGCAGTGATGAATGAATCACTCATTTGGGAACGTCTACTTTTTCTTCAGAAACGTAATTACATGTAGTTTTTATTGTTTTGTTCTTTTTCTTAAATTCTTTTGTTTCTTTGGTGATTTCTCAACAGTTTATGTGGAAACGGAATGCAGTTGGTAGTCAGAGGTGTGTGAACATGCAGGCAAGACAAAGATCACTTGAGCAACACGTAAATGTTTATTATATGCATGCCACGCATATAGAAATAATGTTTTTTATACTGCACAAACTGTATGTTCTCCTAACCCTAACTGATGTATTAGCAATGTTTTATCTACTAAGTTTTTATTTGTAATTCATATTGACAGCATTATGATATGTGTGTGTGTGTGTATATACATTTATACAAGTTTTTTTTAAGTGGTTATGTTTAGGGATAGGCTTAATGTATTTGTAATCATGTTAATGAACTGTTTATTCTTAATGTCACTGTCTGCGGAGTCCTCGTATCTCCAAAACCATTATTAGGAAATAATTAAAAAAAACTGCATATTTTTTGAGTTATTAAACATTGTATTGTTAAAGTTGGTATTATACCATATATTGTTATAGAGTGCAGAAGTTATGATGTCACTTTGTAGGCCAAAACGTGGAAGTGAGTTAGCATTTTTTGCAATTCTGGTTCCCTCGCCATAAAGCCTATGGGTTTTTTGGGTTTTTGCTAAATTGTCTGAAATAAGGTCTGTGGTTAACAAAGCCTCTAAATATTTTTTTACATTTTCATCTACAACCCGAATTCCGGAAAAGGATGTTTTTTAAATTTGAATAAAATAAAAACTAAAAGACTTTCACGCATGAGCCAATATTTTATTCACAATATAACATAGATCACATAAATGTTTAAATAGAGAAATGTTACACTTTTATCCAATAAATGAGCTCATTCCAAATGTGATGCCTGCTACAGGTCTCAATATAAGTAGTAACCTTTTATTGTCACTTAGTCAAAAGTTCCAGTGAAATTGGCCATCAACCTGTCCATACAAACATATATACAACATGACGAGGGGGTAGACTGGACAGGAAGACGGGAATTAAGGAAAATATAGAATGGTTAAAGGTGAGGAGAAAAAGTGAACTTTAAACTTCAAATTAAAGTTTTTTTTTTACAATCACTTTGTTACTATTTTCAGAACCTTGATGTCATTTTTCACAACACACAACCAATGATCAAAATGCACATTTTTCAAAACTCTAACCATTTTCTCAATTGCTTGGATACAATACACATAAAACTTAGATCATTTGTTCATTGAACAAAAATCACCTGTTCAATATGACACAACTTAATATCAAAGTATTACTATTTCAAAAGGCAGTTCACACATTACATTTCAAATGAGTGTCTATTCATTTCCTTACAATGATCTAACTATCAATCGATACAACTGTTCAAAATGAGAAGTAACTGTTGCAGTACTCTTAATGCATAGTTGTATGGAAACAGACACACAATCTTCCATGTTTACAGTAAATCATGAAAATTTCAAGATAACGAGATTCATTGTCACCAAGTAGTGTGGAGCATGAACCAATTCCACTACAATATCCATGGATGTAGCCTACTATTATATAGTTTTGCTTTGATTCCAATAAACCTATGTTGTGTTTGTCTGCAGTGTTTTGCATCAAAATATCACACACGTTGTTCAATGATTCCACTATATCTGTGTTCTCTCTATTACTGCAGTGCTTTTACAGAGATGTACAGTATATTTACTATACATGTAGTGGCATAATGAAACCCGTATCACCTATTTTGTTCTACAATATTTAATGATTGTACGAACAATGTCACAGTGAAGCTATCGGTTACTTGTGTGTGGGTGATCTACAGTTATGTTTCAATGGTATTTCGCAGTAAATTTGTTTTTTGAACCAATGATTGTGCAAGTGCAAGATTTCTTTAAAGATGTGAATGAACAATGAAATTTTTTAAACATTAGACAGCCTGTGTTACAAGTGATAACCGTTTTGAGTTTTGTCTAGAGTTGTGAAAAATGACATCAAGGTTCTGAAAATAGTACCAAAGTGACTGTAAAAAACTGCAATTTAAACTTAAGACTAATTTAAACTGCACAATAATTTAAAGTTCAAACTACTTTAAACTTCAAACTTTCTGGTCCAAACTTTCACATGCCAACTTAAAAAGTTTGTCTCAACAAACTTTTTCTAGTTTGCTTTTGATTTCCCACGAAAGGGAGCTTTAATTAATTTTTTTCTTTTTTTTCATTAAGTACTTTGAACTTTTATTGGACAATATTTGTATATATACATCATAATTCTGTCAATATAAATGATAAATAAATACTTAGTAGATTGCATTGATAAATACATCAGTTTGGATTAAGAGAATATACAGTTGGTACAGTATAAAAAACATTATTCCTATATGTGTGGCATGCATATACATTTATGTGTGTGTTCAAGTGATCTTTGTCTTGCCTGCATGTTCACACACCTCTGAGTCCCAACTGCATTCTATTTCCACATAAACTGTTGAGAAATTACTGTACTGGTACAACTGGATCAGTTTGGGAGTGTTGTACCAAGAGTTAAGTTAATCACTGTAAATTATAGTAAAGCAAATAAGCAAAGCTAGAATTTTTGATGAATTCTCAATTGACTAAGAATTATTTTTTCAGTTTCAGAAATCGCACAGCAGTTTTATCGAATCTATATCTGTGGAAATGTTCCAAACAATTTATTAGTTAACCGTTAAGATTAGCTGGGTTAAAAAAATTGACAAATGTATTAAAATGAACCACAAGAGATGCAAATGAAAAATGTTATAGTAATTAGCATTATTGTACAGATAAACATTTACATCGATGAAACACTCATTTTGTTAAGTAAAAAAGATATTTTGCAACTGTGTTTTAATATAATTGAAAATATGCCAGAATGTCTGTAAACCGTGCATTTTTGATGACCTGAAACTAACATTTTAGAAAAGCTACAATATTAAAACAAAGTTATATGCTAATATTGTAAATTAATATGTAATATACAAATTAATTATTATTATTATTATTAATAATTTGTATGTAATATATATTTGTAATTATTTAAAGACCCCCACTTTTTTGTTTTGTTTCTTGTTTTTCCAGATTTATTCTTTGACATATAGTTTTCTCACTTCAAAATGAAAGGAATTTATGTGGGCTGCTTCAGTGAAGTTTCATTGGAAAAGATTAGAAATACGTCAAATTTCCCACAGTACAGTGTGTCAAGCAACACATGCCCTGTAGGCCTATACTGAGATTCTGAAAACAGCCGTTTTGATTGCACAAACTCACTTGTTTCACTTACACAATATGGATCTTTTTGTTCTGGGAACGTTATGTCCCCATATACGGTATATACATTATATAAAACCATAGATTCATTAAAACATCACAACATAATAACAATCAAACTTAACCCAACACATATTAAAGGCAGAAAATTCATTAACAGAATCAAGTAAGAACACAAAATACATACATATATATACACATTTATTTATTACCATTTATTACAAGAATACAATCTGAGTTATATCAAACATTTGCCTGGCTCTTCCACGCTTTATAATGGGAGTGAATGGGTGAATGTTTTTGGAAGTTCATCAAAGCTCATCTATTCATGATTAAAGTGCTCGACACGGCTCTCCGGGGGTTTATAAAGGCCTTCTGAAGTGAAGCGATGCGTTTGTGTAAGAAAAATATCCATATTTAAAACTTTAAAACTAGCTTCCGACAAATGGCCGTACGTATCGATTTACACCAAAACAGTAACACTTGAACTTGATACAACG